CACACACTCACACACACACACACACACACACACACACACACACACACACACACACACACACACACACACACTCGTGCTGTGGCTACTCCACCTCCATCAGCGTTTCGTCCATTTCGTCAAAGGGTTTCCCGTCCTTCCTGTTATAGAACGTTGCCACGCCCACAATCTCCTCTTTCTTGTTGACGATGGGCATGGACAAAACGTTCCGAACTGTCCAGCCCGAGTTGTCCAGCGGTTCTTTCTGGGAAAAAGAAGGGACACACACCCATGAATAATAATCATTAAAAAAACTATAAACACCCATTTAACTACAACAATTAGAATAAATGAATATTTACTGTGCCTAATACTAAACTCTAACTACGTGCAGTTAATGTGTAATACATGTTGGTGTGTCGTAAAGTGTTACAAATGGATATTAAGTGTTTGATTGAGTTTGGACAAATGATCATAAATGAGTGCATCATTGGTGTGTGAACATGTAATTGGTTTTGTACACAATGTGTAATAAACATGTAACAATGTATTGTGTGTGACAAATGTGTAATAAGCAAAATGTTCAAAATAACTATGATAAGTGCATGAAAATGCATAACGAGAATGTGCATCATAAATTGACACAATAATAGAGTTTGTAATAAACATTAAATACCTGAGTCTTAAATGTGTCATAGATCCATAGCCTGCGTATGTGAAAAATTCCTAATAGTTGGACTATAAGTGGTTAATGAATTCAAATATTAATATATCAAGTTTGTAGTAAATGTTAAAATGTGCAATTCACATAAATTACAGAAAACGTGTAAAAATGTGTCATAAATATTTATGTACACGATGTGTGTGTATATATAGCCTGTAAAATGTGTAATAAATTTGCACACACATTACAGCAGGAGTGTAATAAATGTGACATCATTGTATTATGAATGTGTAAAAAATGTGTTGCAGATGCATATCGGCGGGTGGGGGGGTTGCAAAAGGTGCAATGGATGACATGGGTGATTGCCGCTTTGGTCCGATGGCGGCACTTTGCAGCGGTTAAATGATATGCTCATGACAAATCGGCATGTTGAGCAAATTCCTCTGGCATTTGCACATGTTCACTTGGTTGATACTTGTTCAAATAACTCTGGATTGTTGCGTTGCCTGTTTCTTAAGGCATGCCGTGCACAACGGCTTCAGTTACTCCACATGAGCTCTGCGCAATAGTTATGTAGTAAGTGTATAATTAATTTGTGATATGTGTTCCAGTTATGATGGCAACAGTTTCAGCCTACAGAACAAATCATTTTCAGAATTTTGTATGGGACAAATGTCATCTAGACTGTATGCATCCATTTTCTTCACTGGGGCGAGTTATAAAAAGTGAGATTAGTGTCATTTAATTGTACTGAAAGAATCGAGCTGAAGAAAATCCACCACATCGGCCAACTTGGCAGAGAACAAGCGTGTCCTCTCAACCCCGTGATGGGATCCCAAAAGAAGGAGTAGAAATGATGAATTTGGTCGTTAGAGTGAGCGCACCTCCCCGTGGCCAAAGTGATTCTAATGGGAGGACAGATGAGAGGAGCTGCGCATCCTACTGGAAAGTCAGCGAGGAAAGAAAAAGGAGATCATTTCTTCCCTTTATGGCGGCGGCTTCGCTCCACATGCACACACATGCGCGCGCGCACGATATCACGTTTATGCCACGACCTGCACAATCTAATGGCTCACGGAGCTCAGATGGAAAACAGCGCCATCATAACGTGCAGGCGTAACGAATGGAGCACACGTTCATCTGAAACTGTGACTCTTACTTGGAAATCAAAGAATTCGTCCTCAGCTGCATTCATTATGTTGCAAATCTGTGAGAAAGAAGCAAGGAAATAATATTGTTATTGAACATGAGTGTGCTTGAAAATGTCAACAAGAGTATATGTGCAATTAACATGCCAATAAGTCTGCAAATATTGTGTAAGAAATTTGTAGTACATGTGGAGTAAGTATGCAGTATTTAATGTGACATAACTGTGTAATTGTGCAAATGAATGTTCGATGAGCTGTGCACAAGTATGGTTTTTAGTTTAATTACTGGATCCACTACACAACTTAATTGAACATTTCGAGTGTGACATATTTCCCAAATGAATTGCTTCTTGGAATTCAAATGTCACATGAAGAATTTACAACCCGGAAATTAGGGAAACAATGAGTAATGCCTCTTTGGTGGTTGCACATGAATTTTCAGATTACGCAGAGTGTGTAAATCTGGACAGGAGTGCACCTTAAAAGCGCACAAGCCAGGCCCGTAAAAAAACAAAACAAAACAATAACAACAACAACAAAAAAAAAAAAAACAGAAGAATATGGCTCTTAATGTGCAAAAGATGTGTACTAAATGCCTAAGAAATATGTAACAAAGACGTAATAAGCGTGCAACAAATTAAGTACAGAATAAATGTGTAATAAATATGTCATAAGTGCATAATAGGCGTGTCATAAATGTATTAAATATATAAAGAAGGGTGTGTTCAATTTATAAATAATGTGCAACTAATCTCTACTAATAATAGAACTAAGATGTACATGTGCTTAATGAATGAATAAATGTTCGTGCATAGTAAAACTGTCGTGGCGATAAAGGGATTAGGTAGTACATGTGCAAATAAAGATCAATGTATGTAAAAGATCAAACAAGTCATCTGAGTAACATTCATCACCTTTCAAAATGAATAGAAATGAATGCATCAAGCATTAAAATAAAGCTAAAAAAAAATTCTTACCAGTCCATTTTCTGCAACATAAGTCGGCAAGCCGCTGACCAGAGCCCAATGATCAGCTGGAGGGTTCCTGCTTGTCAATAACAACAGCATTTAAGTCACAATAATTCAGAAGCCATCAACACGGCTGACTGTATTTGCGACTGACGGAATAACTTTGATGTCTTCTTTGCCGTGCAGGATGTAGTCGATAATTTTGTAGAAGACTATTTCCTGCACAAGACAACACAAACATGGCATTGACGATGCTTCCATTTTCTTCTAAGAACCAAGAACACATTTTGACGTCATTTTTAAATCAGAGATGCAAGTCAACTTTTGAATTTTTTTGCTCTGATTCTGAAACTGCCCTTGTTTTTTTTTTTTTTTTTCCTTTTGCGCCACAGATTTTAATAATAACAATAATAATAATGATAATACCAGTTGAGTGTGTACCCCGCCTATTGCCTGAAGACAGCTGGGATAGGCTCCAGCATGCCTGCAACACTCGTGGGGATAAGCGGCTCGGATAATGGATGGATGGATCATACCTGAGTCGTATGTCAAAAACTTCCATGTTGCATCAAAAATATGTTCCTGGACACTTAAAGCCATCTCTGATGAAAAATTTGCTGTTGACCAGTGTCATCATAATGACTTACCCGGCCATCAGGTGTTTTGGGTCCGTCATACGGAGGAACTTCTCCCATCAAGACAGGCCACAGGTCAAAGAACTCCTATCAATGAAAGAATAACATTGGTGCGCAGGTTCAAGCCATCAATGCTAGCGTTGGCCCAGTGGATGTTGCTGGTCACTTTGGTTTTGGTCATGTCCAGCAGGCCCACAGAGTAGCGGTCGCAGTTGAGGAAGGCTCGCACTGTGTACAAGGCCTTGTGAAACTGCCTCTCAATGTCCGTCAGCTCCTCAAACACCTTGCTGGCCGACCACAGCAACACCTGTGGCGCATGCACACACACACACACACACACACACACACACACATGGTCATAATTTTGACTTAAGTTTGAGGGGTTTGTTTAAGATGAGCCCTCACTTTTCTGATTTTATTTAATTATTTTTTGTCTTGAGATATGAGCAAAACTTTGAGTTATGAGCGCTAGCTATGGTGGCAGCCAACTCCACAACAAGCCAAGTGCTTGCTCTAAGTTGTAAATTTGTATTCCACGTTCAGGTTTAGCGGAAAACTCCATGCTTAGCAAAGAAAATGACATGTTTTGTCTTGAACCAAACCGTGCAACCAAAAAAAGTCTGTTAGTCTTAAGACTAACAAACAATGCTAAACGCCATAGACGGCCTAACATAATTACATGTGATGTTACGGTAGTTATAACAATTTAAGACACAGGTGTCAAACTCAAGATCCAGAGGCTAGAATCTGGCCCACCGCAATTCTTGGGCGTCAATTTCCATAATTCTTCCATAAAATTACCACCAAAATTTCCAAATGTTATAAGTAGAAATAATACGAGCGGTATTGCAGTTCACTTTTGCTACCCTTTGTACGGTAACTTGACCAATAGTTGAACAAATTATTGGCCCTCTGCAGGAAACCGTAACTGTAGTGTGGCCCTGCGACAAAAATGAGTTTGGCACCCCAGCTTGAAGATACTTGAAGAACAACGGTGCAGCAGCACATGCACATACAATATAACAAAATTCCAGCATTATTCATTGAAATGTCATCCACCTTCCTTCGGACTCTTGAGTTTCATCGATCGCTGCTGACACTTTGTATTATTGGCTTTTCTTTCCAGGGCCTGCTGTGAGTCACAAAGCTTCTAACTGAGCTGCAGCAGCCAACATGAGGAGGGAACGCAGGAAATAAAACTCACCTGCCCTCTCCTGGTCTCACAACTGTGCAGGTAGCTCAGGTGGAAAACCCTCAGCACCAGGTTGGCAAAGTTCAAGTACTTGTTCAGAGTCTGAAGGGTAAATTGAAATGTATTTTTCTTCTTGAAGTTTGAGGTTTTGTGGTGACAAGAATTCATAATAGTAACATCAAGGCAAAGGTGATTCATTGACATAGCTATTTATGTACTGTATGAATATGTCATACATTAAGTTCTGATCTATTTGTTTCGGTCAAAACCCGAGATGCAACATTTTGAAAAAGCTGCAGCTGTTTAAGACTCTTTTGAAAGAGTCTGGTGAGAATAAAAGCAAGAATAAGCCTCCCACCTGACACATGCAACCCTTCACTCTGGATGTTTTTCAGCGGGTAAAAAGCTGTTTTATCGTGATTGATTTGTATGACTGTTGACAGTCAGACTCGATAGTTTCAGACTTGGTCTTTGCTCGGTAAAAGCAGCAAAACCCGTGGCGTAGGTGGTGTAACATGATTTTGATGTATGTGATCGAGGCACGGGCAAATTCAGCACTAAGATCCCTTAGCAGACAAAATTCTGAGGTCGGCTCATTCGTATCTCAAGGCACCGTTGTATATTATTCGAGGAACTACACCAGTATGTACACGTTTACCTCCTCGTCCGTGGTGGTGAAGTGCGGAGCGTCGTCCATCTTGTTGACGGCCATCATGACGGCCACCATGTCCTTGCCGTTCATTATGGGCACAGCGAGCACGTTCCTGGTGGTGTACTCGGTCAGCTCATCCACAAAGTTGCTGAAGTGAGGATTCTAAAAATGCCGCAGGAAGATGAGGAGGGGGAAGATTTAAACATTTCAAGCGAAAACCAATGGACCAGGTCAACAGTGTGGTCCTCGGGCAAGGGGGAGACCTCATTAAATGACGAGAGAATTAAAATCTGCAGATGGACGTACAGTATTCTCTCGGGAAAGTCTTTTGTCTGAACACCACTGTTATCAGATTCTTTTTTTTTCTTTTTTACACATTACCAGACAAAGTCAAACTAATCGCGAAGGTCTTTCCTAAGGCTAGAATTCACAATTTCAATATGTTTACAACAGCCCTGACGAGTAAGGCTGAATGATTTAGGTGTAACACATATATGTATCAAATATGCAATGACATCTTTTCTTTTGTAAATTAATATTTTTAAATTGCTAACGAAATAAATTATGGTATTCATGGGGCTTTTGGCACTTAATTAATTGTATTTAATGTTTGGAATCTATCGGTTTTATTTATTTGTAACTCATATTTGTTATGAGTTACTGTACCACACACACACACACACACACACACGCACACACGCACACACACACACACACACACACACACACACACCCACACACACACACACACACACACACACACACACACACACACACACACACACACACACACACACAC